AAAGAATCTTAATTAACAATTATAAATTAAATGTTTTATATTGTATATTACATTTTAAATCAGTTGATTCCATAAAGAATCTTAATTAATAATTATTAAGTTGGACAATTAATCTTTGCCAATATAATTTTTTCTTAAAATTTATTTCGCTGTATATAAAAAAAATATTCTTCGAATTACTATAATTTACCATTTAAGAGATAATGACCAAGTACATTAGATAGTTTTACTAATAGTCAAAAATTAAATTAAAATATATTAACTATTCTTTAGAAATTATATGTATATTATTGTCAACAATGATTATGTCTTTTATCATTTTTTTTAATTTTAATTTCTTTCTATAATGAAACTTTGGTAAAATATATTTTCATTACAGAGTATGTTAAATAAGCTATAAATCCTTATAATGCAAATTATAAAAATATCTTGATTATAGAAGGATTGAGTTTTTTATATTTTTTATATCAAAGTTGTTTAATTAATATAAAATTAAATTCTAAAAAACATGTGTGCATATTTTGTAAAATATTTATACACTAATTAATTTTAAATTTATTTACATATTTTAAATTGATTGCATAAGAAATAACACTAACGTGCATTAAATACTTTTCATTACATAAAATAAAAATAAACAAAACGTACAACCTCTATAACTTTTATAATAATAATGAGATAATATGACCACAAATTTTATAATAAAATAAAAGTTAAGTATTATATGGTGAACAAAAATAAGTAAAACAATTATTTTTTTTATATCAAAGAATATATATACTAAAATTAAATTATGTTAGTACACTACAAAAAAAACGTACAACCTCTATAAAACAAAAACGTACAACCTCTATAACTTTTATAAATAATAATGAGATGATATGACAACAAAGTTTATAATAAAATAAAAGTTAAGTATTATATGGTGAACAAAAATAAGTAAAACAATTATTTTTTTTTATATATCAAAGAATATATATACTAAAATTAAATTATGTTAGTACACTACAAAAAAAAACTCTTACATTCCAACGGAAATTTTCCGTTGGAATTTTTCATATTTCCGTTGGAATAGCTATTCCAACGGATATTCCTACGTATAAAAATCCGTTGGAAAAACGGCCGTTCGAATAGCAAATATCCAACGGAAAATCCTATGGAAATAAATTCCTACAGCTATTCCAACGGAAAAATCCGTTGGAATTCCTCAACTATCCAACACTTATTCCAACATATAAATTAAGTTTGTTGAAATATTCATTGGAATTTCCAACGGAAATTTTTGTCGTTGGAATTTTTCGTTAGAATTGTAGTGTTTTTTTGTAGTGGTATAAATGTGTTAGCGATATACTATATTAATTATTTTACAAGCTAGCCCTAACATGCTCATATTTAATGTTCTGACTAAAAAAAGGTCGATTAAAAGATGTGGATAGATTACAACTCTATTATTTTTTAAACTTAACGCTGATTAAAAGAGGTGAAAAATAGACGATAACTTGCTTTTTAGGCTTAAACGACAAAGTCTATTAAAATAACTCATTTAATATCCATGTTTCGTGCATCGCACGGGGTACGTATTAATTTTTATTCACAGATGTCATACTTCATAAAAAAGTTAAATAAAAGTATAATAATTAATAATATAAACATCTATTTTTGTTCAAATAGTATAATGAGTGTATCCGCGTAACAATTATCCAAACAACAGTTAGACTAGAAAAAAAAATATAATATATATATATATGTGATCTTCTTACTTAATAGCTATCAAAATGTCAATAATTGATTTTGATTAGCTGATTGAATTAATTGATTATGCAAAAATATTTGATAAATAATTAATTATTTGATATGTGAAACAACTAATTTTTACAATTTTTAATTGCAAAAAGCCCATACTTGAATAAATAGTTGTTTTATAGGTAAAATCAACTAGTATAACCAAATAATTAAGTTATAGGTTTAAACGGGTCAAAATTTTAATTTTATCCCCTAATCACAAAACCATTATCGGTATTTTGGTAAAATTAGTTGATGAGCTAATTGATAGCTGATAAGCTAGCTTATAGTTTGTCAGTAATTTTCGAGCTTATAGCTTATAACTTATGATTTATAGCTGAAAAGCTAACTTATATAATAAAAAAGTTTCATAAAATTAGATGATAAGCTAACTGAAATAAAAAGTTCAATGAGTTTATTTGAAAAGCTACCAAAAGAAGCTTATCAAATAAACTCGAGCTTTTTAAAAAAAATCGTCCTACCAAATAGAGCTTATTTAAATATAGAGAGTTTATAAGCTAACCAAAAAAATTATAAGTTGGCTTATTTAGCCTATGTCTTTGCAAGGTAGAAAATAAAACACAATTTTTTTTATAAGATGACCTAATTATTACAAGGTTGATTACTCAGACTTTTTTCTTTAATTAAAAAAATATGTATATTTATGCTATATAAAATTATTGATTTTGTTTGGCACTTAATAGCTATCTATATTAGCTAATATTTGATTGCATTAACAATTTTGACTAGCCGATTGAATTAAATGATTATGAAAAGTATTTGATAAATAATTAATTATTTGATATATAAAAATAACTAATTATACAATTTTTTATTGCAAAAAATCCCAATACTTGAATAAATAGTTGTTTTATAGGTAAAAATCAACTATTATTTACCATATAATTCCCCAATTACTAAACCACTGTGTCGATTTAGAAAATAAAATACAAATTCTTTTGTAAGACGACCCAATACACGATCGAATTATCATACCTTAAAAAAAAAATTAAAAATAAAAATGCATATTTCTACTATATATAAAATTATACTTTTTGTTTACATTATTTTTTAAAACATGATATATATATACTTATATTAAAAGTTATACTATTTACTAAATAATAGTTGTGCACCCCGTGCATCACTCGTGTTCACATTTCGGCCTATTACAAGTCACGTACTATATATATCCTGTACATTTTTCTTTATTCATTTATATAATTATAAGACTTACATAAATGACTTTTGTGTACCCCGTGCATAGCACGGGATCTGTACTAGTTTCTACTTATTGTTGGCTTACTTTTAGGCCTGAATAACAGAAAATAAAATTATTGTTCATGAAACTGTACCAAATCAAGGAATAAAAAAATAAAGCATCTAAATAGTGGATATTTCAGCTAACACAGACCTTCTATCCATATATGCTTAAGTTGAGATGCAACTTCAAAATATAAGAGAGAGTAGTTTTAAGGGAAGTTTTAGGTCCACCAACTGGTAGTTAGAGATTGGCACTCCATAACCAAAACACCAGCAATTTTCTTTTATTTTTTTTTATTTTATTTTATTTTTTTCTTCTGCAAGAACAATTTATTAACCAAGTCAAGCTCATATAATAACAACAAAGAAAACCCAGCAACAAAATATTTATTTTACTCTCTTTTTTTTTTCTTTAATTAATTCTGCAATAAAGGGAGGGTGAATTAGGAGAAAGATATGATTTTTATTTTGTGGGGTTTCAAATTCGTCAAAGGGATGACCCTTTTTATGGGCTTTTAGGGAGAGAGAGAGAGAGAGAGAGAGAGAGAATTGTGTATAAGTCTCACGTGGGAATAAGATAAAATTGAGTACACGATGAATGAATATATGCAGTATGTGTCATATAAAGGTGAAAGGAGAGAAAGAGATTTTAGAGAAGTGTGATAATAATGGTTCTCTTGTAATCATTTTTTATTTTTATTTTTTAATTTTTTGTCTATATTCTGTAATATAATTTCATATATTGTGCCTTTTTGTTTCTCTTGTTCTTGATAATTGCCTTCTTTCTTTGTTCTTCTGTGTGTGTGTGTGTGTGTGTGTGTGTTTGTGTGTGAGAGTGAGTGAAAAAGGTACAAAGGGATTATAGGATTGGAGCCTTGGGATCTGTTTGTTTGCATTGAAAGAGGGTTTTTTTT